GGGTTAGGGTTGGTTTGGCTTCTTTTTTTTTTCTTATTTAACTTTTTTACATGGTTATTACTATGGTAATAATACTTACTACGTGACAGCAGTAGTATTGTGCCAAGGTATCAGCAGACTCTGAATAATCACAGCAAGGGAGTTTTCAGCGATTTTAATATTGTAATTCTGAAACACTAAGGCAAAAAGGTAGAAAGAGAAACCCGCAGGCTCAGTCCTAGGTGTTGATGCTGGTTTATCCTATTCATCTTAGCTATTTACACCGCTGAACAGATTTGAGAGAGCGTGCCGGTAGGAGTCAGGCTCCCAGAAGAACTTCCTTGGTTGTACTGTTGCTTGAGTTTTCCCTGTCTTTCTGTCTGGATTTTACCATGCACGCTGCCACGACGTCCTGGAATGGGTTATACCGAGGAGGGGTGGTCTTGGGACAGTGAAACTTCTCATGAATTATATAACCAACTTTTGTTATTGCGACAAATCCATCTGCAGTTCGTACAGTTCCATTAGCAGTTGTGTATACACACTCGACAGCCAGCAAGGCACCTGTGGAAACCAAGCTCTGAATAAACCATTTACTGTGGAGTAGGATTGGACTTAAAATATGCCACTTCCCTCAAATGGTCCCTTGTCACCAGACAATTTGAACTCGGTAAGACTGGGTCACATGAAGAGCAAGGAGGAGAGGGAAAAAAATAATCCAAGCTGCTTGTTTCTCCTTAGAGCATTATAGATGGTTTGCATAATAGAATCTTACAGAGACCCTTCTTGCTTTGCCCTTAAACTCACTGCTGACATTTGAACCCCGAATATTTTTCTCTATGATGTGCTGGAAAACTCCAACCGTAGTCTTGCAATTGCAGCTTCCAGTTACAGTGCTGAGACGCTACCTCTAGATTCAGTAGTCTAGCCTCTGTTCTGATACTTGCACAAACTGTTGCTGGGTGACATGTTTCCCATCTTACAACATGAAGGATGCTACAAGCCTATTTAATATGGGAGGGAGTACAGACTGTCTCGTTGTTGCTTGCATTTCACAATTAATCACCACTTGCAACATCCCACACTGCAATGGAGTGATCCAGCATCCCAGTGTACAAGTACTTGTCATCATTTGAGAAGCAAGCACAGCAATGCTTTTTAGGTGGGATGCGGGCTGAAAATGGATGGTCAGGATTAGATTGTTGTGCTGGTAACTACAGGTTGAAGTGATGATGCCTTAGAGTATTCAGTGCTTAAGAACAGAGGTAACAAATAAAGATTTTTACAGGAGTGATCCTGGAAGGAGGATGGGAGGTATCACAAAATAAAGCCTCCAGCTTGTGAAGCACTCTACAGCTGTGCAGGAAAGAGAGCCTGTACAAAAGCCCATTGTTCCACCTATGGAAAGGGGTAGCTCAGACACATTTGTGGTCTGTTGTCAGGTTGAAGAGTAACAGCATTGATCTAGCCTACACCATCACTTTTTTCCCCCCCTTACTTGATTCTCCTGATCTGGCCCAATTTACCCCTTCTCTTGCTCTTGTTAACTTGTGAAGGCTCATTCCCTTCACTGATTTGTGTTATCCAGCTTACACCAGCTAAATGAGCAGTAATAAGCTGTAGAAAAATAACTCCTATGACTTACGTTTGGTGTCAGAGTGGTGTTAACAGCACTCGTTCACTTAGACAGCAGTGACACCGCGATAGAGTATCTAGGTGTAAGGATGCTTTAAAGTCAGATCTAGATGCTGAGAATAGTTTGCTGCCTGTCAGTCTGAACAGCTACACACAGGATTTGGGTATTTTCTTTGAGAGCTGGGAATCCTCTCAGTTGGATCTTCCCTGACAGGGCAGTAATCAACTATTCATGGTCTCACCACCTTATAATAGCGCATCTCATGTTACTGCTGAGAGAGCTCCAAGTCCCAGAGACACTGCAGGGAATCTTCAGATCAACTGAGTGCCTGCTGCTCTCCGTGGCTGCTTTCCAAACAGATCTGCTTCTGTGACCTTCCAAAGGAAACACTTGGGCCCGAGGGCAGTCATAAAGGAGTAGGCCCTGCTAGTCATGCCTTATGGGACTCTGTAATCTGCAAGGACAGCCACTCTAGAAGCCAGAGAGCCAGGGATCTGAGTTCTAAAGGTGTAGGTGATCCTGTTGATCACTGGGCATGGATCTGCGGGGTTAATATCCAGCATAAGGACTAAGTCATCGTATGCTATGGCAAACTGCTTTCCCTGCTCCTTGATTGCCATGCTGTTGACTGCTTTCTGTGACTCTGGAGGTGCGATGCATGCTCCATCCTGCCTGGAGTTCAGTGGAAAGACAAGGACTGTTCCAGTTACAAGCCCTGCAAAAAGGAGGTGGTTTTGCTTGGCTATTTCCAGTGATCTCACTGGGGCAGAGGTGTCCAGCATGTCACACACTTCACCTGTGAAACACAAGGAAATCGGCAACACTGTTCTTCCTCCAACTCCGTGCGAATGTTTTCCCTCAGATGGGGCTCATGATTGGCTTCTTTGTTTGTGAAATAATTTGTATATTATTCATATTTCCAGTTTTCCCATGTCATAATAAGTTAGACAAAAACTTTGGAGCAGAGATTAAAAAGCTCTCCAAGCCTGAAACAATTTTTCCTAAATCTCATGCTTAGAAAAAGCAGAAAGGAGCAGACCATCATGTGCTCAGAAAGCTAACCCTGCCTTTGTTGCCTCTCGGAGTTGGCTTGTTTCTCTCCTGCCCCATATGCAGGCTTAATTTGATGCAGTGTTTCTGAGACGCAGTTCACCTTCTGTAGCGTTCCAGATAGTGACTTTATCTCTGTCTTCAGGTTGGGTAAAATAGATGTAGTTCTCCCCCATGGGACAGTTCAGCACAGCCTGTATTTGGGACTCTAGCTTTTCTGTCTACAATCTTCATGACTGTGGCTGTAACTTCTAAAGTTCTTATTCTTTCAGCACGCTTTATGTTAAAGACTGGCCATACCTTTGTATCTGAGAAAGAATATATATATAATCACGTGCCCCTATCCACATGAAGGTGATGAGGGCTGTTCGTTGATATGTGTATCCTGGATAACAAACCTTGCTCTGCCAGAAATCAAATTTCAGATGCGCAGACTGTGATCCATGGCAACTGAAACAGCACAGGTTCCTTTTCCACTTTCACACATCTCACCTCAGCTATGAAATAAGAGGAGGATTTGCAAAAGGAGGGATTCTCAGTGCTTTCAGCAATTGGAAGAATGCTCACAGCTGGGAGGTGTCTGTATGCCTACAGTTCAAGGATCACCAAGCTGTCAGAGCTCTTTTCAGACAAGAAAAGAGCTTTCCAACTATAAAAAAGTGGAGAAGGCTCACTGGAGTGCCCAGGGAGAGTGTGCGGCATCTTGAAAACTTCCATATTCCAGACAAGCATTGAGCCATCCTGGGAACCTGCCACCAGCAGCCGGTAATCAGAACTAAGTGCCATCACTGTGACACCTGCCAGGACACACAAAGAGGAGAGGCTGCCCTTGGTACCACAGAGAGAGACAAGACATTCTCAGATTGTTTCCCCATCTGGAACCCCCCTATACTGTCTGAACCCCACAGTCTGTGCTGAGAGCAAGATTAGGTTCCCTCAGACATATCTAGGTCAGTGTGTGCTTTTGTTGTCCTGACAACAAAATGACCCACTTTATCCTCATTTGTTGAAGCAATTGCGACTGGGATTGGTGCATGACTGAGCACGAAGGCAAATGGACCTTTATCCTGCCTTTGTGTAAGCTCACGGGCCAAGCTGCATTTCTACAGAAATAGATGTTCTCTCCTTCTTGCTCTGTTTATTTATTATGTTTCTTGGCTCTCATTCACAACAGATGCATGATTAGTTATTTTCTTGGGCTATATCTGTCCCCAGGACTAATTCTACCTTTGAGGAATCTGGTGAGTGTTGTGTGTAGGGGTCCACCAGATCCTGAAGAAATCCACACAGTGGAATGAGAACAGGGTAGGGACAGACACTGCACCAGCTCAGACACTGCTGGCACAGCTTCCCGATTACCTTTGGGTAAGAAGGCACAAAAAAAAACGAAGCCTGGCCAACGTTTCTGTGTATATTAAACTCACTCCTAAGAAGGCAGAGACAAAAAAGTATTTTAGAACATGACTGTGGTGGGCCTGTGAGAGCTACTGTAGTTGTATTTTATGTGATTCACAGTATGAAATGAACTGAGCTGGCCTTATCTAGCCAGGAACTTCAATCATATAAGGAAGGCTACAGTGTAAAACAGAGGCAAATGTAATGGTGTGGCAGAATTTTTCCCCTCGGGGAGGAGTTGGTATCTGAGGAGAAGACAGCACTGTGTACCCTCTCCTCTACCAGAACAAGGCATTTGTAAGTCTTTTGATGGATCCCAGAACAGAGCATTTTGTCACTGGTTGCAATTCCTCAGAAAAGTACTTTTACTTGGAATTGAAAATTCCAGTTCTTTGCTCTGGAAAACCTTTGCATCACGCTCTGTCACTTTGAGATAGCTGTTACCTCCAGGGCTGTGTCTACTGCTGACTGCAGGCTTCAAAAGGAGAAGTGTGTCCTGCACAAGGCGTAGTTCTGGACAGCTGATGCATTTGGTATGTGTGGCAGAGTCATCAACAATGCTCTCTATTCAGAGACAATTGGTTTACAGCTGATCCAGTTCGTATTCCCTGCAGAAAGAAATACTCCTAGAGCAGAGAACATCAGCCCTGAGCATGCACAATTATCCTGAAAAGACTGAGATAAAAAATGCTTTCTTGGGGAGGAAGGGAGAAGGATTAACAGCCACTAACACTGGAACTAGGACTCATTTGCTGAGGAAGTGGAGGGCTCCCATTGTCACAGTTCCTTATTTAGTCTCTCCAATGCTCTGTGTGGATTTGTTTTTTTTTATTTGTTAGGTTTTTCTGTATATTTTCTTCTCAGCATTTGGAGGATCTAGATAATTTCTTTCAGCTACTACAAGAAGTGGTGATAATTCTAGAATGACAGTTCATAAAAGTTAGCTTATTTCTTTTTTTCAAGCTTCCTCCTCACAGGGGTTATGGGTGCTGTGCAGAAAGGTTGTGATTCTTAGCTGTGGCCGTAGGGATGAAGCATGCCTCTGCAAAGCACAGTATACTCCCTCTTGCCCAGTCCTTACCCAGCACATCCCAGCACATCCCATTTTATCTCCTTAATTCCTCCAGCATTAAGCAAATAAAAAGGCAATTCACTCAACTTCCTCAGATTTGCAACAGTATCAGAGAACCAGAGTGCCTGAGGGGCTACCTAGGAGTAACCAGAACAGCGGGTTTGAGACATGGCTTGTGGATTAATCTGTTTGCTTTCATAACTTCAGTGCTCGATGCTATCTCATGGAATGCCAGACAGCACTTCCAGCACTTTCATTGTTTTCCTGTTAATAGAAAATGTTTTTTATGACTCTGAATTTCTCTTGCTACAATCTAAGGCAGGCTGCCTTTCTGCAGGTGTGAATAATAAATTACTTCCTTCCTTGTTGCAGTAGCCTTTTGCATATGCAAAGATGGCATAACAAAGTTTGTAAAATGACTGTAGATCTCCTTGATTGGAGATACCTGTTTAAATGTATAAAAATACATATATGTATGTATATATCTTTGGCATTGCTGAAAGCACTGAATAGTGTCATTTACTGTTATTTCTGTTGTCTTCTGATTTCAGACCCTGTCCAGCAGTCTGGAGACACAGAGTCCTGGTCCAGAGTTTACAGGTGTGGAAATGCCTGCTGATATTCCTCAGCTTCCTGTTGGCATTCAAAGTCCTGCTAAAGTGTGGCAGTGTATGGGGTTTCTTCTTTCCCCAGCTTCAAGTCCTTTTGAAGAAATTTGCCAGGAGAAAATGCCTCTTGATTTGGTCTTGTTTGATAGATAATGATTCTCCACCATTTCAACAAATTGCCTGGGAAGGGCAAAAGTAATAGCTGTACTGGAACAGGGAGCTAGAGCTGGTTTTTTTTCTAGAGTCTCAGCACTGACAGAGTTTAAGAAGGATGAGGAGTCTAGGTGGGATGCCCAAAAGCCCAGGATGGGAACCTCCCATACTCAGAGGTTTGGCATCTCATTCTCTGCCCACTAAGAGTACCTGTGTGCAAAGCAAAGAAGGGTGAAGCCATCTGCCATCCCTTCTTCCAGACACTCTCCCATGTCACTGCATAGCCGTGCCCAGTGGAGAGGAGGATGGTGCAGGATAGTTTTATTTGAAGGAAGGTGAATCTGTGGTGAATCTCTATAAGAACTTCATCCTTAAGGGATAAAATGTCCTTCAGCTCCATGTCTGACAGCCCATTTCTGCAAGTGAAGTGTGATATATGAAAGGAAATTATTTATCCTCCTCCTTACTGTTTACATTGGTATCCACAGTGGGAGGGTGAGTGGTTTCTCTGGCAGTTCAAAAGTACCAGTCACCAAAAATCTCACTTGCTCACACGCACACATGGCAATCGCGGCTCAGAGCTTAGACCCTGGAGATTGATTTCCTTTTCCAAGTAATCCCAGAACGTCTCCCTTCAAGACAGTATTTTAGATAGGCTGCCAGGTATGAGAAGAATGTCATGCTTGCTAAATATATGTATGAACACATTCACAGTCTCAAAGAACTGAGAGCTTTGACTGGGTTTGGCTGTATTTAGCCATATTCCGTATGAACAGCAGGAAATATGGGAGGACCAAGACTAAATCACTGCAAGCCTGTTTGGTCTGATTTGGAGGTGATGGCAAATCAAATGCTAAACACACTTGGAGACAAATGTCCCTCAGCAGGCTGTGAATGGCAGACCTGAGCTGGGATGTCCCCAGCAAACGAATCACAACTACACTGTCTTGCCCTAAACCAGCTTGCATCTGCTCAGATAGTTTGCACATCACAGCTGTTTTTCCACAGCCTGGTGGCCCATAAAGGAGGAGAGTTGTGTGGGTTTTATCATTGTTCTGCGTAATAAGGTGAGAAACATTATCTAATAAATTCTGTCTCCCACAGAAAAATCTGCAGTTCTTCAGGCCCAGAGCTGTGTGGTGGCCCAGCTCCTGCAGAAGTCACCCTGGCTCCTCGCTGATCTGTCCTCAGTATTGAAGATTCTCTAAAACCTGCAGTGACCTGCTCACAAAGTTGTTTCAGGTATTTGTTACTCTCCTTGCACTGAGGGTTCCCAAAGTCTTTTCTGTATGCCAGTGTGTGTACTTTGAGGTGTTTGGGATACTGGCTTGCAATTTTTGCTTCAAGGTTGCTGAGCAGCTGTTTTGCTTCGCTGTCCAAACTGTCCTCTTTTTCTAACAGCTCACTGTTTGTCCCTTGCCCAATTTGTTTGTTGGAATCCTCAACCTCTCTGAGGAATATGAAAGCCCATGGATTGCCCTCCTGGGTATTGAGGAGACCTTGTTCAATCTCCCATTCAATCACTACAAAAAAACCCAAAAATAAATTGAAAAACCCTTGAAGATGTGAGCATTCGGTTTCAGAACAGAGCACAGGAAAAGCCATCCATCAACATTAATGTGACATCCCTTGGTTGTTCTGTATTTCACGTGATGCTAGCAGGTCAGCATTCCCCATGTCCTCCGAGCTAGACATGCTCCTAGATGTGGTCAAGGACACTGGGGGGAAGAAGGAGAAACATTTCTATCTGGTGTTTTACTGTTTGCTAGGCAGCACCAACCTCCCTCCTCAGGATTCAGGTTATGGTAGATAGCAAGTCTCTTCCTTCCCTGCAGGTCTGCTGTTGTATACAATCTGATGTTGTCTTGAAACAAACAGCTGTCCTCCCTGACAGCTCAAACCCACAGCGTAATCCTTGAGCAGTGCCCTTCTGGTGTGTGTAAAGGAGAGAGGGAGTAGTCAAACCTTTATGGCTGGCTCTACTGGGATTTCGTCTGAGGAAGACACTGCCCGAGTGCCTACTAGTGCCATCTGCGTATGTGATACAGTGCTGCTAACAGAGGTGTGAGCTTCAGGGAGCTCAGCGATGGTGAGCTTATGGGCGCAGTAATGCTGCGGTGAGGCTCTCGTGGTCTCTGCCTCTCCATTGCTGGCCTCTGGTGGAAGTGTCTCAGGGGAAATCAGGCACAACTTGCACAAATACTTAATTGCTTATTTATTTACTTGTGGCTTCAATTATGCCCCCTGGGACTGCATATTTATCCTCTTTGTTCAGCAAACCCTTCTTTCTCCCTTTCTAAAACCAAAACAACCTGAGGAAGTAACCTGGCATTTCTGCAGGTGTCTCAGCCTCCTCTCCCCTTCTGCAAGGCTTAAAGTTCTGGGGGTGGGTTTCTGTTCGGGGCTGTCACCAAAGTGCTTCAAGGAAGCTGAGGTGGGCTGCTGCTGTGGGGAGCTTTCAGTGGTTAGACGGAGCGATCAAAGGGCTTTGAGTAGGGCAGAAGCATGGAACAGGTATCAGCTTGCAGGGTGATCCCTGGTGGCTGCTACAGCATTTTCATTTCTGGTTCTTTGCATGGGGAATTTGTCTTTATTCCTTAGTTACTGAGAAAACCTCCTCAATATTGAAGTATTGGGCAGGAAGCAATCTGGGAGCAAGAGCTCCTTGCCTTATGTGTATCTCCATCTGCTAGTTAATACACACAACCAATTATCTTCTGCTCTGAAGAGACTCTGAGTTCAGGGCTGGACTATATCTGTGTGCCTGTCAGGGCTTCTTCTGTCTTTTAGGGACTACTGGCAGTTATTGACACCTCAGCCCCATTAGCTAGCTGATTTGTGAAGCTGCTTGGGCAAGCTAATTACTTTTGAAAACCACCTTACTTGTGCAGTAGACCTTCTGAGTGCGCGTGGACTGCCCTGTATGTCGCACTCTAGCCATAGGGACTGAGTGTGCACTGCAACGAAGGTGGGACCAGCTGACAGTATCTGACAGGCTTCAGTTCCCTCCAGAGTTGTGTGTTTCTGTGATCAGGGTCTACAAGCTCAGAAATACCCCCTCTTGAGTCAATTATCTGCACAAAAATATTTTTTTTAAGATTCTTAGACTAGTCAATACGATCATAAAAACAGTGACATGGGAAAATTAAGTCAATCTATCATGTTTAATTTTTACATCAGTCTGAACACTAGTGATATGCAACTTTAATTACTGGAACTCTGCAGGAGATGCTGAGATATTCAAAATTTCTCAGTAGGGATTTCTCCTGTGAAAGACTTAGGGATTTGGACCATGGATGACCAAGTAAGTAACTTAGTCTTTCAGGACAAGGAACCTCAAGACTGTAGGTTATTTGCTGCAACATTTCAAGCCTATCTTCTACCATAAAAGATAAGGATCTCCCACATTTCAACAGCCCCTTTTATGCAAATGAATATAATTAGGACTAGTTCAACTACCCCTGAAGTATATCCAGTGGAGTTTATACATGGAACTTTTTTTTCCAATTGAATATAGAAACAAAAGGATGATGTAAACCTTTGTGCCCGGGTTCTTGAAGATGATTAGCCACCTAACTCTGCATTGAAATCCATACAACTCAAGCATACAAATAGACTTTATCCAAAAGTTCTAGGAAATCGGTGCAGCAGTATTTGAGGCTAAGAGGCTTCTAAGGAGATGGAAAACCTATGAGCATTTTGGTTTGTTTTTTTTCCCCTCCATCCCACATATTTTGATGGTCTTTGGACAAGATAGACAGGAGAGAAGTGATTTACCTCAAACATTAGGCCGTGCTTCTGGCAGAAGGCCTGCGCTTCTGCATATGCTTTCTCCAGGAGGGTCTCTCCTTCTGTAGCCATGTCTGCACAGAAGGATTTGTGCGGCACACCAGAAGTTAGGAATTTGGAGCCAGGTTTTTACTTTTTTTATGTGTCATGTTAGACCTTACAGCAAAAATGCAGTTTGTGTTGCTATCATCTAATCTGTGTTGAGTTTCATATCGATGATGTGGTTAAGTCTTGTAGAACTGTAGTTTCCAGATGTCTGCAGGCTTGTGTCCATTACCAATGCGAGGGCATTTTCAGGGTTCTATACTGGCTTGTCACACTTTGTTTTCATTTGCTAATATGAAAACTCTGGATCTGGAAATTTTGGATTGCATAATTATAGAATACAGTACAGCAGCATTGATCCAGAAAAATGTGTTCCTTACATCTTACTGCGGCAAATCCTCCATCCTATTTTAAGACCACTCAGCCACGCTGTTGGCCATCTCAGCAGTGATAAATAGCCACAATAAAGCAATTCTACCCACAGGGAATCTTTTCATACAGAGTCAAGTCTGTGAAATTTTTATGGCCACTTTCCCGCTGTGCTTTTTACCAGAGAGATTACCACTTTCTAGAAAAATCTTTTAAGTGACATATTCACTGAATTAAATCAAAGAACATACTAGGTAAATTTAAGATAAATTAAGATGACAAAGCAAATAGGAAGAAGAGTAAGTGCATATATGCACATGAACACAAGCATGAGCACTCGCTCCCTGTGCCTGCATGCATACACTCTCTCTTGTTCACTGATAGACAGGTCTTATATTCATGGATATTTTTCACACCTGCAAAATTAAGACATGGGGAATATAAAGGATATTTTTCTCCTTACATATGTTTTATCATATGAAATTATAATTTCTTCAGAACTGGAATATTCTCTCCCCCAAATTATGTAAACATTCATGGCACTACATACTGTGTTAAAGTAGTACAAGGGGGAATGCTAAAATTAGGACGGGGAATGGGCATATCTACAGCTTTCCTTGGGACTGTTCTAAGTGAAAAGTGATCACTAATGAAGTGTGTGCCAGTGTCAGGTGAGGGAAGAGTTCCCTTGGGTTAGGAATTATCATGCCTGCACTGCTGTCCAACAAGGAGCAAGCACTCTCAGCGTAATACCCCTGGAATAATTCATTAGCTCTCACCAAGGCTGCAGTAGTTATGGGAAATCCTTGTATCGCTTTACACTCCAGCCCACATGAATTCCAAACCTTACAGTGAGAGAGTGAGTTTAACTTATAACCCTGTCTTTTGGTGAAAATCCAATCACGTGTCACATCCTTCAACCCAGAACTGTTCCTGAAAATAGATGAGGTCTACCACAACTTGGACAGGTGTTGTAGGTACAATCTTAACACTAGCTGTATCCTTACATGCCCACTAATTTCAGATTGTCTGCAGTTCTCATACATCCCTTCCAGAAACTGCAGCCCTAATGGTTTCTGTGAATGCTGACCTATCTGCTTAGGCTGGAGACACCTCACTGTCCAAAAAGCATACTCATTGCATTAGATCCTACTGGAGGAGATACTGTAGTATTTTCTGTCTTTGGAAGGCATTTTTTGTGGAATTGAGAGCTTATCTAAGTCTGTGTTTTCTTATTTAAAAATGGAGACAGAGTGAATGATTTTCAGAAGGGGAAACTGGGTTTTGTAATTCCTGAAAATCTGAGTCATTGCTACCCACTGCCAGTTACCACTTTAGGAGCTCAGCCTGGCAACCGTGTCCCAGTAGGCAGAGGAAGTGGGAAGTATTTGGATATTGTCCAAGAAGAAAAGTTCTTCACAAATATTTCTTGCTGTTACAGTGGTGGATGGGAATCAAATGTGTGTTGTCCAGGGTTTCGAGAAAGCATCCAAACTTCGCTGTCTGGTTTGCATGCAGGCATTGCACTGCACTGAGCTGAATTTGGCTTCGCTGCAAATGCCATTAGTTCCTGAATTAATGCAGAATTCTGCCATCTCTGACAAGTTCTAACTGCAAATTGGGTGTGACAGAATAAAGCTGTATATAAAATACAGCAGATTATAGGCATCTTCACTTTCAACTGAAGCTGCAAGCTTACAGCTTCTCTGCCAAGCACAGTAGTCTCACCACATTGTAACACTTTGCAGACTCTAGCAGAGAGAGTGTCTGAAGCCTTCAGCAGCTTCAGGACTTTTCAGCTTATTTACCTGAAAAAACCTGAGCTGATGAAGATTCAGAGCAGCCTGGAGGGCTGGAAAGGCAGAGGAACCATCTTCCCACAGAGAAGATCCCAGCGTGTATCTGGACTGAAGCTCATGCTGCGATCTGGACTCCCTGAGTTCTGCTTGTAAGGGAGGAGATGACTAATGGCAATGAATGCCAGTCTTGAGGTGCCTCTCTCCAGAAAGCTGGCTTGCTCCTTTTTTTAAAGAAAGCCTGGGAATATTTCAGTTACTTTAACAGGAACAGTAGGAAATGGTTGACTGTCTCCACTGAGATGCAGTGAAACTTCACCGCATCCCAGAGCGATCCATCTGTATTTGAAGAGGACAGCTATCTCTATAGCAACCTGTGTTTGTCGCTTGGGGAGAATCCCCAGGGTCTCCAAGGCACTAGATGTGCTGTATACCTGACATCCCTTTGTTCGCTGCCCTTGGCTATTTTAGAAATACTCATCTGCATTTTGGCATCAGGTAAGCCTACAAGTACTGGTATCATTTACAGTTCAGGTATTCTCAGCCATTTAAAGTAGGTTTCTTAATACCCAGGGAGTATGCCTGTGCTCTGTCACTGTTTGCCTTTTGTCAAGCTCTGCAAGAGTGAATTTACTAAAAGGCTTTTAAATTGTGCGTAATAAATATTTACTGCTTTATGGCTACGTTTGGACTGGGGTAGCATCCCCAAAAAAGCAGCATGTGGGAAAAGGCAGAAAGAAAAATGTAATAATTTAGAAAAAACCAGCACGTAGGTAGAAATCAGAAAGAGAGAAGAAAAAAAGACTTCCCAAGGAATACTACAGCTAACAGTAGAACTCCAGCGACAGCAGCTGTTTGGCTGTTGCTCCTAGTTTTGAGTTCTATAGTGCAGGACAACATCCATGACCCACCTGCTAATCCCCGTGCCGAGGGGCCCAGTGTGTGCTGCTGCAGTGCTCACCCGTAGTGTCGGTTGTGGAGCTCAAAGGCAGGAAACTGCAGCTGGCAACAAAGAACAAGTAGGAAAATAACGTCTTTGTCCAAATGCCCTTGGAATGCACTGGGAGAGAAGGTAACTGGTGCAAACATCTCAGCAGAGGCCCTACCATAATAGGTGTCTCCACCTCATGTTCACAGAGCATGCTTTTCAATGTCTTTCTTCCATGCTGGTCTGTTTTTCAATCTTCACAGCACGTTGCTATTTCAGTGTGTTTCAATACGTGTTTCTGTATTTGTTCAGAATAACTTTTCCCATAAATCTCATCTCATGAAAGGAGATTTAAGGGGCTGGTGTCTATCCTTGTCTGTACTCCCTCTGCATCCCTCTGGCAAACAGAGGAATAATTAAAGAAAAATCAGTAATCTTTATTTGTGGGCTCCTTTTGCAGACAGTACTTGATTAACCTCCACAGTCATCTCGCCAAATAAGAGATTAACTGTCATCCTAATCTATCATAAATCAAACAGGCAGGGAGACAAAGTGTCTTACCTTAAGAGACAAACATTACAGAGAGCCTACATTAGGGTTTAGCTTACATTAGTCTAAATCTAATTTAAGCCAACATTAGGACTCTAAAGTAATGGATTTTTAGACTGTTCTTCAAGGCGTTGCAATCTGTGACATGCTAGATGCATCTCACACTGCATATACCTGTCATTATTACTGATTACGCCAATTCTTGTCACTAACAAGTCAAAGAAAATTAGCTCACTCACTGATTCAAGCAGTTGGTTACTGTAGGACCAGAAGTCCCCAATTAGCAGATCTTTTTTTGGAAAGTCAAGATCTGCCAGCTCAATTGAGAAGCATCAGGGGCTGGGATAATTGGAAAAGCAGCAGCTTG